GGAAGTCTGGTTTTGAGACTTCACAATGTTCCATCTCATTTCCCTTTGGGGTTGCTGTAGGTGATCTGGAAGTCTGGTTTTGAGACTTATTTGTGTGTCTTCTCATTTCAACCCCAGTGGGGGGGTGCTATCACCTCCTTTGAGCTGGGAGTGATGGGATATAAGCTTAGAAGCCCCTTCCTCTGGGCGGAGAGTAGTGGGATGGCAGCTCAGAAGCTCCTTCCTCTGGACTGGGAGTGGTGGGATGGATCTCTTTTTCTTATTAAGCCAAATATAGCTAAATTTTGCCTCCTACTCATCCTGCAACCCACCTAATCTGAGATGTTTAATGTTTTAGTAAGAAAATTCTACTTGTTGGGATCACTATTATGTTTATATTTGACCATTTTTATTGTGTATTGTTAGTAGTTTCCTTGGTTTTCTGTCTTGTACTATGTGAATTTTGTTTCTGTTCGAGTCTCCCACATCCTGAACCTCTCCCATGCACAGGCTCGCTATGTGTTTCTCACCAGAGCACTTCTCTTTGCCCTCCACATGAGTGTCTCCCATGATCTGATGCTACTTCTCCAGCTCCCCTCTGCCCCCTTACCCTGTGAGTTCTGGGAATTTTATTTCTGAATGAATGAATGTATATATATGTGCTAATGAGAGCTGAATGCTAATATCAGATTGGTTCAGACTCTGGCTATTTGTATTTGGAAGAGGGATCACACACTACCACATTTCAAGAGAGTGTGTTTGACTTTATCCTGGAAACCAAGAGAGCTGTTGGAGGACTCCAAGCTGGGGACAACTTGTCCAAACCAACACTTTTCTGGATTTCTTTCACTTACATGCTACTCTGCCTAAGCCACACATACTACCTTCCAAATGTGTGTGGTATTGATAGAATCTAGGTAATTTAAAAGGATTTTTGAACATCTCAGACTTTAGTAATGTAGATATCTCTGACTTCTACACTTAAAGAAATGAATACAGTTCTCGATTTTTGTATATTTTTCTGCTTTGTTCCAAGGCCAGGAATTTCTGAATATTTTTAATGAAGTTCTACTATCTGTATCTGAAAAAAAATCATTAAACATAAAAGAATGAGCAAAAGTTAGTTACCTGCATCTTACTGCTTGGATATGAGTCTGAGAAACACAGAATAAAATGGTTTGGAATTTATTACCTAGAAGCCACATCTTGCATCTATAGTTCAGTGACATTTGCTGGTTATAATAAGGGTCCCAGGTCTTTGTGAAACCTGAAGTTATTTTGAAACTATCAGAGAGAAACTATTATTGTCTTCATTTTCATTTCAGTGTGCATTTTATTGTGATTTAATTCTCTGAATACTTGTGATCTTTGCCTATACACATAATTCCCTACCTAGCAGATTTTTAGATGAATTAGATCCTCTCCAATGAGACTTAGTCTCCTTTCCCCAGTTCTGCAGTTTTACTCTCATTAAAATGCTCTCCTGATTTTGCTTCAAATCAGAGATATTTACATATGTGCTTTTTTTCCTTGATAAGTTGTTTGCTTTTGGGAAGCAGGCTGTATGTTTCTTTCCTCAGTACTGAAGTTTGAATCCAGCACCTCACACATGCTAGGCAAATGCTTCACCACTGAGCTACACCCCCAACCCCAAAGCCTGGGTCTTTTATCTTTTTATTCCTCATGTCACTAGGGACAGCCCTGTTTTTTAGTACACAGTTTGTTTAGCACACAGTTTGTTTAGAAAGTATTAGTGAACACTAATATTTCAAAGTGAATTTACTATATCAAGGAAACTATCCACCTAGTCTCATAAAATTGCAAAATCTTCTTTTCCCAACCCCTTTCCTTCTCCTGTGCTCCTGGATGTAGGTGCTGACCCACACCTGAAATTAAGTTAGAAGAAGCTGCTGCTAGAATTCATTTGGCCACTTCTTGTCTTTATCTGTTACAGGGAAGTGGTGCGACCATTAAGAGTCTATTGCAAGCTTTCAGATGATACAACAAAGGCGTGAACTAGAATGGTGGTAAAAGGGTTGGAGAGGAGTGGATGGATTCCACCTACACAATACAATCAAAAACTGGTGAAGCCAGGTGAGGTGGTGGCACATGTCTGTAATACCAGCACTCTGGAGGCTGAGGCAGGAGGATTGTCATGAGTTCAAGTCCAGCCTGGGCTACATAGTGATTTCAGGGCTGGCCTGAACTACAAAGTGAGATTGTGTCTCAAAAAACAAAGAAAACCCCCCTGGTGAATGCTTAAATGAAAATAATTATTATAGGAAAAGACCTCCTTGCTGTTAATTCCCTTCAAAATACTCCCCCTCTGTTCAAATATATTTACCCATCTTGTTTGCCGCTTTCCGTGGCAATTCTAGAAGTCACTTTTTTGTGTCTAGTTGCACTGTTGTGGTTGCCTCTGTCCTGAATCAATTCAAAACCTTTACCTTTTATTATCATTTTGGCTTTGGGGAAGAGTCAAAAGCCACACAGAGCTGATACATAAGGTACATAAGGAGGATAAGGACACACTGTAGTGTTTGTCCGCCTTTCTGTTGAAGGGTACTCAACAGTAGCTTTCACCATATTTCTGGTCATACATTGTAAAGACTCACAAAAGTGGACTTTCAGAACTGCTTCTGAAAGGAACAAGATGAAGAGATAAGTGTGTTCAAAGTGACAGGGAGTATTTTGAGGGGGATTAATGGCAATGTGTCTTTTTCTGTAATAATTCTTTAAAAACTTTAAGCACACACCACAGTTTCCGACCAGCCCTTGTGTATGTTGAAGGCAGATGGATTGGGCTTGGGGGATAAATAAAAAGGAGAAATTAAGGATAGATCTTATATTATTTCCTGAGGATCCTAATGTCTTTTACTGAGTTGGAAAAGTTTTTGACGAGGGAAGATGGACAGAGTTTTTCAGGTAGGTGTGTGTGTGTGTATGTGTGTGTGTGTCCATTTTAAAAGGGAAAGGTCAGCTCTGAACTTACACAAAAATGTTTAAAGCATGAAATTGAAAACATTCTCCAGAGAGAGTAAGGGACAAGGGTGAGAGAGGTTAAGTTTCAGCTGGGAAGGAGGTACATCTACATTTGTCAGTCAACTGAAGCGGGGTCCATAAACCACAGCCCATGGACCAGATCTTGCCTGGAGTCTGTGTATGGCTAGCCACTGAGAAAGGCTTATTGTTGTTGTTATTTTTTTAATATTTAAAAAGCTTGTCTGGTGTGGTGGCACATGCCTGTAATCCTAGCACTTGGAAGGCAGAGGCAGGAGGATCACCCTGAGTTTGAAGCCAGCCTGGGCTACATAGTAGAGTTCAAGGCCAGCCTGAACTATGTAGTGAGACCCTGTCTCAAAAACAAAAACAAAAAACAACAACAACATTTAAAAAGCTTTTAAATAAAGAATATGTAAGATAATGTGTGCCACAAAATCAAAAATATTTATAATCTAACCTTTCAGGAAAATGTACACGGACCTCTAAGTGGAGGATATGGAGACAGCAAAGGAGACAGAAGGCAGAGACACAGGAAGAAATTGGAAGATCTGGGTGCCAGGGAGGCTCTGAGAAGAAAGTACATGAAGAAATTATCTGAGGGTCCATGTAAGATAAAGTCAAAGAATGACCCAGATATCATAGAGGGTCATAGTAGCTAAAGTGTATAACATTAGCTTCTGCAGCAAGCAATTCCAACATTTCAGTGCCTTGACATAATGAGAGTATTTCTGATTTTTAGATTTTACTATTGTCTGTGGATGATGTGGCAGTTGTGTGTTTGTGTGTTTGTGTGTGTGTGTGTGTGTCTGTGTGTGTGAATTCTGCTCTAGATAGTCATATGGGATCACTAGCCTTTTCACTTTATGGTTTTGTTATATGAACCTTGATTTTCAGGTCTGCAAATGTAGAAAGAGAAATAATCACAGGCAAGAGCTTTTCAATGGACAGCCTCATTCTGACCTACATTCAGTTGGCTGGAGCTTAGCCACATGGGTACATCCAACAGTAAGAGAGAGTGGGAGTTATTGTCTGAATACAGGAGAGAAAGCAGTCATGTTCTTAAATCATTGTTATGGCTTGTGTCTAGATCTCCCCTCAAAGTTTCACGTGGTCATGGGTGGGGCTTTCTCAGAGGTGGCTGGATCTAGAGTGTGATGCTGGAATTGATTCATGGTGCAATGCTAGGTTCAAGGGCACCAGGATTAAGGGTGTGAGTGCTGCCCACCCTAAGCAGTCTGGATAAGATAAAAGGGACAGAAAGATGCTGTTAAGGTTCCTTGATTGCTTGCTTTTGCTGTCTTCTGCCTGCCATGAACTGTTAATCCTCTTCGATGCTCCTCTGCTATGCCACCCTGCTTTGGAGTCAGCTGATTATGGACTGACACCTCTACAAACTGTGACCTAAATAAACCTTTCCTCTTTATCTTTGGGTGTCAGATATTTAGTCACAGCAACAAGTGAAAAGTAACTAAAGCAATTATTTATTTATTTATTAGCAGAGGGGTTTTATTTGGCTTAAAATAGTCTCCATCACAGAGATATCTAGACAGGCATTTTCTTTAGTATAAAGCCCATGAGGGCATAGCTGGGTGGCAGGAATGATGAATGTGAGGATAGGGAAGTGGGGGTAGGTAGCAGGGACATCTCTTTCAATAAGTGCATCTGGGAATGGGGACGAAGTGGGATGGCAGCCAGAGGAAGCCGATGTAGGGTTGAGAGAGGTTTCCCATACAGGGAGCACCATGACAGCAACTGCAGTGTTGATGGCGGCAGTCGGACAACTAAAAGGCAGTTCTCTTGTATGTTCCAGACATGGTTCCAAACTAACAGTGAATTCTTGTGATCTTTACAGGACTGTTAGGTGGTAGGTACTTTTGTTATTTCTGCTTCAACATAAGAGGAACATGAAGAGCAAAGAGGTTAAATAGAATCCAATATTACAGAATTACTAGCAGGACTGGGATGAAAACCCAGTTCAGAGGTTTGCTGAGTTCATGGTAGCTGTCTTGTGAAGTGGAAAGAGAACAATTTTTAGAATTAAATGGACTTAGATTTGAGTTCTTGACTAGATTCTTCCTAGATTCATGAACCAGGGGAGGTTAAATAGTTTTCTCATTTATAAAAAGAAGATAATGTCTAACGTCAAATTATTGTTAGAATTAATATATTTAAAGCATTAGTATCAGGTGGTGAATGCCTGTAATCCCAGCACTTAGGAGGCTGAGGCAGGATTGCTGCAGATTCAAGGCTAGCCTGAACTATGTAGCAAAAGCAAAATCAAAAAGCATCTAGTGTCATATCTTATATTTAATAGACACATAATAAATAGTAAAATAGTATTGATTAAGAGAGGTGTAAGTCTAAATACATTTTTTCCATGTTGCTATTCCTTTTTTAAAAAATTGGCAACAGATTTAGATATGTTCCAATTTATAGTGCTGTAGATATAAGCAATGATATCATTATGTACAAATATTTTGAGAGTCTCAGCCATTGAAAATCAAGTTGCAGATGATTTTAAATGTGTGTACTATTCTACAGTCTCTGACACTTCATGGGGGAAACTTTCACGATGTAGCCTGCTGCCTGACAGGAAATGGATGTGCTGTGTCTTTATTGTCATTTATCCACTTATCTTGAATAAATGCAGCTTTGCTTTAAAAATGCTAGATGTGGAGCAACAATCTATTAAAAGACCTTACCACCTTTCACGTTCCAAAGGTCAGTTGCATTTTATAAATACAAGCGAACCGATATATCATCCAGTCAGAAAGACATCTCACCTATCAAACCAGGGCCTCTGTCCAGGGACACCTCCTAAATTCTCTGGGATTCATAGAGCAAGATAATTCAAAGAAAAAAACAGAAAATACTGTGAGTGGTGGAGTGTGGTCATCTAGTAACACTTGCCAGATAACAAGCACATCTTCCCACCTTAAATGTTTTTTTTAAAAGAGAGAAGTTGGGCTGGGGATGTAGCTCAGTGGTGCCCCTGCCTGCCTTGCAAGTGCAAGGTCCTGAGTTTGAGCCCCAGTACCAAAAAAATAAAAAAATAAAATAAAAAAGGAAAAACAAAGAGCACCACACTGAAGTTGCTTCAGGTGGTTTTGGTAGGTAGGGTTAGTGTGAAGGTAGTCTGCCTTTATTCAAGAGAGTTTCATTCCTGAAAGAGGTTATTATGAAGGCCATGGTCAGAAAGCCATGGAGAGGGTCCTGCTTACCTTATGATTTTGTATGAAAGGCTGTAAGCTATTTATGCTATTTTCATGGAAAACTTAACTTCTGGTCTCTAGGCCTTCTGAATTAACAAGTGTCAGGAAGAAATATATGGACACATTCACTTGATTCTGTTCTGTTCCTTCTGAGCATTCCAGACTGACTTCAGCCTTTCTGCAGTTGTACTTCTGAGCTCTCAGGCTGATGAGACAGCTCAATGGCACCAAGAACACCTGCTGCTTAGGGACACAGGGCCTTGGAACCATGGGCTTCACAGTAGGGCTTATTGGTAAAAAGGTGTGGATTCAGATCACTTTCTGGTAATCTTGCAACTCACCAGTGGGAAGTGTGTTTAATCTTTTCAGTCTTTAGTGTCTATTTTGTAAAATGTGGCTATCAATGCTTTTGACATAGAACTACTGTGAGAATGAAAGAGACAATGAATGCAAGATGCATTGCAATGAAGTTCCTCTATGGTCACTGCCATTACTATTATCTCATTAAGCAATCTACCCAGTCAGATTTGGAGTTGGGAAGTACTGAGATGGTCCTGGGCCTCAGAGACCAAATGAATGAAAAGAATAAGAACAGTACAAAAATCAAGTGCTTCTGGCTTATGGAGTCTTTAGTTCAGGTACAGCCATGGAGGGCTTTGGGTCTGGGAGGTGTCAAGATGGAGAAGCCAGTGCAACATGATTGCTATGATTTGGGTGATGATTCCTCTTCAAAATTCATGTTGAAACTTAATCCCTGATGCAACAATGTCGAAAGGTGTGGCCTTTGGGAAGCAGTGACTCATAAATGAGGTTAGCACCCTTTGAAAAGGCTCAAGGTTGAAGGGAATGTGCCGTGGCCTTCCCTCTTCCACCATGGAAGTAGGTGGCCTTCAGCCTCTCCAAAGCAGGCAGCAGTGCAGCAGCACATTGAAAGTGGAGATGAGGCCCTCATCAGAGGCCAGTGCTGCGGTGCCTTGATCTTGGGCTTCCCAGCTTCCAGAAAGGTAAGAAATCATTTTCTATTGTTCATGTTATCCAGTCAGCATTGTTTTGTTATAGTAGCACAAAAAGACTAAAGCTGACCACGGTAGAAAAAATGCCCAAAAGTTGAAAACTCAGCTCAGACAAACATGGCATTGGAGAAGATTAAAGGCCTTATTGGGACTGCAGTGTTGGAAATGGTGGATGATTCCAGCATTTGGGTGGCCAGTCTCTTGGTAGGCACAGCGAGAGGGGCTGCAGGGAAGGGTGGAGGCAGAGTCAGGGAGGCAGAAATCCAGAGCTCAGTGTCATGCACAAAGGGTCCAAAGCAGAGGGAGACACAGAGCTCAGGAGGATGAAACCCTAAGGTCCTGGGCTGCCATCCTGAAGTCATTAGACCAGGAGATGGAGAACAATGGTCAGGTGTGATCACAGATCTAAAGAATGCACTTGTGAACACAGAAATGCAGGCAAGAGGGGCAAGTACCTGAAGGCACAGTTGCTGCAGAATTGGGACAAGGACAGTGTCCTCAGCTAAGGAGGGTGGCGATGGCAAAAGAAGAATGGTCAGCTGTGGGGAATGGAGGCTGCCAGGAGAAAGCTGGGCCAGGAGTGAGCTGGGGTGCTCGCTGTGTTCAGGAGCAAGAGCACTTTTTAATGCTCTGCCATGGTTGAGTTGTGCCCTGGAGAACGAGGCTGGACTGAATCTGTGGTGGGCCGGGAGTCAGATTCATCCATGGATGGATGCAGACTCAAGGGGAGCCCCTCACAGTGCTGGAGTTCTCCTTCTAACAGCACAAATCTGCTCAGATCTGTCCTCTTCATAAGACTTCAAATAGATCCCAATGCTTGTGGAATATCTTAGCCACTCTCCTGTTGCTGGGACAAAATACCCAACACCTACAGTTTCAGGAGGAGAGGTTGACTTTGGCTCATGGTTTCAGTCCATGGTGGGCTGGCTCCAAAGCAGAAATAGGATGGCACAGGGGCCTGGCAGAGGAAAGGGTGCTCAATTCATGGTAGCCAGGAAGCAGAAAGATAAGGGGAGGAGCCCTTGCCAGCCATATAGGCATCCCAGTCACTTTGCTAGTGACCCACCTCCAGCTAGGCTGCACCTGCTAAGAGCACGTTCAGCTCCTGAATTCACCAGTGGATGAACACGATCCCTTCACCTTCACACCCATGAGAATGTAGGGGGGACATTTTAGATCTAAACTATAACTTGAGACAAAGCCCAAATTGCTTAGCCTGGTTATTTGAAGCCTGCTGTGCATCAGCTTGAACCTTCCTCTTGGTCTGACCTGGCGTTTCCCTCGGGTTCATGCTGCCTGCAGTTAGGCGTTATTTCTCAGCCAGCTCACCAACTCCTGTGCCCCAGGATCTTCTGCTTTATACCCGTCCTGTTCATATTGAAAAGTACAGAGAAAGCACTTACAAGAAAATTGAAGCAGTGGAACTTAACCATGTTTTAGGAAAAGCAA